TTTTGGCTTCCTCTTGTTCTCTTTCTCCCAACTCTCCAAAGCACTGCAAAGTAATTTGTCCGTGTGAAACCCACATCCCCCACACCCTCGCTTTTCAACAGCAGAAAAGGTCTTGGTCTTTGTAAATTTTTGGTCTAAAGTTGCGACCAAAGATACTGTCTCCTTTTCAGTGTCATATTGCACCACAGAAACCCCAACTACCATGACATCTACCATGTCTACTGGCATCTCGACACTCCACGGAACACCTCCAATTTTATTTTGAATTTGTATGGCGATTTGTGTGATGACGGATTGCGTCAAACGCTTTCTGACGGTATCGACTTCAATGCACTGTGTTGGTACTCCTATATCAAGACACCGTCTTTTAATGATCTGGTACATCTCGTCGTTCTGTGGTATACACACGACAAGTTGGTCTTTACTAACATCTTTAAGTAAGTCCTCATAACTCACTCCTGATGCATAAACGACTTTCGCCGGGTTAAATACGACTCTGATTTTTGTGAAGTACTTCAGTAGTAAGTGTTGTAATGTCATAAACTCGTCTTTGTACATCATCGGAATGATAGCCGTCCATTCTTTAATTTCCACTGGATTGACATAAAATGAGTTTTGAACAAGTTCAAGCCAATTTGCAGGGTTTGGCGTTGCCGTTTTGTCTTTGAATTCGAGTACAGGCATTTTGAGTAAATAAGCGCTGATAAAGGTTGGCCGAGTGTCGATAGTAATTCCCCAGTGTTTGAGACCTTCAAGTGAGGAGACATACCTTTTGACGTATTCCAAAATGAGTTCAAGTCTATCTGTGGGGGGTTGAACAAAGATTTCTCTCAGTCGAGTGTTCAGTTGTTTATCTTTTTCCATCTTTTCTGAGAGTCCTGTGAGTGCCAAAAACTCTGGAAGGAAGTATGAATATTCATTTTGAGTATAATTGAATGACTCATGTTGACCTTTATCGCCTTCTTCTATTCTATCACTTTGTTGTATATGTTGTGGTTGTATAAAAACGTTTGTAGTATCAAATACTGGTGGTTTCCTATATAATTTATTACGCTGTGCCAGAAGAGGTTGATCCATTCGAGTGACCACCTTGTTATATTTCGTCAAATAGTAGTCTGCTATACTCATCATTTTCCCTTTACATGCAAATTGATAATTTGGTGTCTTATCAAAATCAATTTTATCGACGTGGACCATCTTCTTTGTTATTTTATTAAAAAGACTCGACGGCTTGAACTGCATTTCAATTTGGTCCGCGGCTTTTCCTTCAATGGATTCTAAGTAACTTTTCGCTTGGAAAACTTTAAATGACGTGTCCACAATGATATATGAGCAATCCTCAAAGATTCTTATAGTCGAGCAAAACCCTTTTTTAATGTCCAATTGTCCGTCGGGGGTTTCAAGAATTCGTGTTTGTTCATTATCAAAAAATGATTTCTTCCAAGACACCATATTCTTATTCCCTTCCACAAATATCGACTTCAGTAAGACATTTCCTTTTTGTATATTAAAAGCAGTGGTGACTATTTCTATCAAGTCGACGGTATATGCCATTTTCTGTTGCGACACAATTCGAAAGGTTACAGCGTCCTCCCCTATTTTTTGTGTTGTCCAGACCGTCCACCCGTCCGTAAATATTCGATTATTATATTTGAAATGTGCGGTCAGAAGTCCTCTCTTCATTCCAGAGTTCGTTGTGTTCGGGTAAAAATTCGCTTTATAACTATAAATTCGCAACTCGTCAAAATTCACTCGAAAAATGTTGGTTTGAAGTGTCACTTTCTGCAGACTCGGCCCAAACTCGGGGCGTTTCGGTAGATTTTTCAAAAACTTCACATATGGATTTGGACGAATCGTCGGCTCTTCGCTCGGCGCTTCAATCACACCAAACATTTATTTCGAAGTTTCCCATGAAAAAGGGTTTCTGTCTCTTGCTATTTTTATTTACTATATTTTATAGTTAAATGTATCATTATAACTAGTACATGTATATACCTATGCTCTTCATTTGAATCAATCCACAAAGAGATAGAGGAATGATGTCTGTGTGTACGTTGACATTTATTCCTTTAAAATATAGTATTATTTTAATAAATAAAACTAAAAAATATATAAATAGACTCATTCAAATGTGTTTAGTACAAAATGGCATAGAACCTCTTCTTCAAGTCGATCAATCGTTTCTCCATCAACGCAAGACTCTCTATATTCTGTGGGAAGTGTCTTGCCTTCCACAATGGGTTTGAGAACGTCTTATTTGTTTGAATGAGTTGAGGATTTGATGCCACTATTTTAAATAACAAAATCCACTGTTTATAGTGTTCATCAGGAGAAGTCGGAAACTCAATTTGATTCAAAAGGATCTTCACTGCATCATTCACCTTTGTCTTTTTTCTTCTCACCAACACCTTCGCGTCTTCCGAGTAAGGAAATGTAAGTGCGTACGCAACCCTAGTTTTCTGATACTCTCTCTTTTCCTTCTTCTTGTTAAGTATCTCAAGTTTCAATCTATTTGTTAGCCTCTGACACTGTACTATTATTTAATAATATTATTATTATTAACGTATTAGAGACAAATTCAACACGAACAAACTGATATGCGAAAATGTTGTTACTCTGTCTTCGAAGAGCTTTCTCCACCAAATTCAGTGCAACTTTCTTCATATCATTTTCCGTCAGAAATTTAATAAATTTGTTCAACACATAACACGACAAAGTGCTCGCTTTGACCGACCTCGAAAACCACCTGATCGCCTCCTCCAAATTCTTTTGGTTTTGCGTCTTTTCAAAAATTTGGAGAAACCCTATCGCCATATATCCACACACCACATCGGAAGACATGGTATTGTTTTTATCGGTTGCTAAGTAATGGACTTGGACTGCTTCGTTCGGCATATTGTTCTTAAGGTAATACCCAATGAGACTCGGCAAGTACATATTGGAATTGAAGACAGCATTGAATTCCTTTTGGTTTTGGACTAATGAACTCCCATCAAAACTACACAAGAAGAAGATATATTCCATTAATATATCTAAGTACTTTGGTGGACACCCATCACTCAAGAGTTTCCTGAGAGATAACAAATAACACCGTTTGAGTTGGATCATGTTCTCAAGGGTCCCATATTTCTTCACCAAAAACCTAGCTTTCCACACCAGCTTTTTATCCACACAATTGAAAAAGATTTTAAAACAGGAAGCCATTAACGTTTGTGTGGTTCTGTTGTCCTCTTCACTCAATGAACCCATGAGCTGTCGCTCAATACAACTGAAAAACACTTTCCTGATCGCAGGACGACGACTGTAAAACTGTAACGTACGAGCGTTTGCAAAACCTCCTTTTGTTGATTTAAGGGACTTGTATGGCTTCACTAATAAATTAAAGCTCATTAAGTTATTAAGTTTTAATAGTAATATTAAAGTCGGTTGATTAAAATGTTAAGTTGTTATTTTAATTTATTAATAATTAACTCAATAGTATTATTTAACTTGTTTTTCTAAAAGTCAATTAATAATTAAAATTAGTATATATTTTAATAAAAAAAGTATAATTTGAAATTAATAAAACATAAGTAAAAAAACGAATTATATATTATAATACATTATACTATATATATTGGTTTGTATTATATTACTAATTGTTAATTGAATATATAGTAGAACTAATCTATAATATTGTAAAATTATACTTATTGGTTTCAGAATTAACATTTTATTTTAAATTAATATGATCAAAAAACTATAATTTTTAGTAAAATAAATAAAAATAATGATAATATAATACTAACACAATTCAGACAACTCTTCACAAAACTGCTTGTCGCCAAGACTGTCTTGATCTTTTTTCATATCAAAATCATTCACAAAACAGAAGAAAACGACGTTTAAGTCGGACTCTGATTCCCATTGATATACTCTTTTAAACATTTTCCGTATTCTTGATGACACAGTTTTAAAAGCAATTTCATTACGAATGACAGTGTTATAGACAATAAATGGGTTGGTACCAATAAGTCTTTCCTTCATCATTTTAATAACGTCCTCACTGATAAAGATTTCAGGAGGTGCCCCAATCCCATCAGAATTTACTTTATTGTCGACATCAATCACAACACAATTGGAATAATTATTTTTGGCAATTTCAATACCATCTCCAATGATGGTGGATATATTTTCCGTATTGTAGCACTGTTGTGCAGCTTCAGCAACAACGGGATCTAACTCGACGCTTGTCACACTTGTATTCTTGACAAGTCTTTGTATTCCCACAGATAATAAATTTGCACCTCCTCCTATAACTAAAACACTTCTAGTTTTGTCATAATCACTTTCTTTGTCAAGCAAAGCCAGTTTGACACCCAGTATGATTGCCTTAAAGTATAATACATTATTAATACTTTTTACTATATTTATGGTTCCGTTTTCCAGCACTGCTTCCGACTGAATGAGACTCCGATCACCGCTGAACATCAACTTTCTCGAAACCAAATTTTCCTCTTTATTCAAATACGAGTCCTCGACCCAAATATTTCCGTTGATTTTGCTTTGCTTTTCAAACAAGAGTTTTCTGAATCCAACTCCATTTTCTTCGTTGATGTGTATAAAGACTTTCTTATTTGCTTTAACATGCGATAGCGCAAATTTTATCGCAATCAACTGAGACTTGATGGACTCAACTGAAGACACGGAATTGTGAATATCAATCGAAACTATTAAAAGACGCCGATGCTTAAAATCGGTAGCCAAAGATACTCGCCCTTCGTGTGTACAGAAAACCCAATCTGTTTCCTTCCCTTGCTCGACAACAGCCAAACCAACTTCTTCATTTGGAACATCCAAATCAACTATGTCAATTAAATACTTTGGTGTCTGACATCCAGTTATATATATGGGGGTACTCATTACGCGCCCAGGGACAATTACAGATATTTCTGATTCGCTCAAATTGTGGATCAACCCCATTGTGTGGATATTCAGTTTATTGTATAGACTCGACAATAGTTCATTATTTATAATTATTTTACTATATTGTTTATTAATAACATTCTAAGAGTTTTTATTAACTCGCCAACAACCCAATACTGCTCTTTTTAACAGTTTTTTAAAAATTTGTCCCAAAACTGTTTAAATAATTTTGAAATATTATTAGGTGATTTTCCTGAAAAAATAGATAAAAATAAATAATATAAAATTATCATAATGGAATTATTTTTAATTTTTATACAAAAAATAGTTTTGTGCATTTATTTTTTTATATAAAAATTTAAAAGCAAAACAGAACAAAAATTACAACCTAAATAATAAAGAGTTGGTGGAAAAAGTCAGCTTTAGCAAATTATAGTAAAATATAATATTTATTGAGGTTCACTATTTTACACCGACACCAGTGCACATTAATTCAACAAACTATTTTTATATCAATAACATTTTTTTAAAATCAAAATTGAATTTTTGTTTTCTAAATTATATAATTACAAAGTACATAACATCTGTTGAATAATTTATAGTTATATTTAATTATAATTAACAATAATAACTTTTTATTATATTATTTTTTAATTTATTATTAATAATTTAATAAACTTTTAATAGTTATTTATTGTTGTTCACCAAAATTAACTCGTTCTGGACAACACTTAGAATAATGTCCCAACTGGTTACAAATATAACACACTCTTCTTTTTGGAGGTTTTTTTTAGATCCTTCTGAATATGCAACTAGGTTGGCTGCGTGTATTTGCTTCGTTTTACTTACCTTTTTGGGATCCTTTATCCGTTCAATGGTTGTACTCTTAGTCATAGATACAGTTTCATCCCCAATTGTTATCATAGATTTTTCTGTTCTAGAAAATGATATTCTTTTTACACCCTCTTCGATTTCTATTTTTTCTTCTTTTTTGTCTTCGAAAAAAACTTTCTCTCCTTCAAAAACTTTTATCACCAATGGAAGCAAACTGGGGTTCTCCTTTGCGTTGGGATAAAATTTCTCAAGAACCATTTGATAATCTGTATAGGAAATAGAACCATAATTCTCAGGATTGTATATTTTGCACTCATGAGTACATACTATTCGTACAGACTTGGTTCTGTTTAATTTGAACAAACAAAGTGGAATTTTTGTCAATGATACGATATAAAAATTCACAAGATGAGGATATGGAACACCAGTTTTAATATAAGAACAACATGTATATTCATTTTTGTCTGTTTTGTGTTCTTGTTGTTCCCATATTTTTAGTGTGTATTGTTTGTTCGCCATGTTAAAACTATAAAGAAGATCAGAAACTGTTGTTTTAGTAAGACTTAAAGCGAAATTATCTTCACAAAAAAAGATTGAGTGTGTTTTTTCTTCGCTGTTGAGTTCCGAAAGACTGGCTTTAAGTTCCAAGTATTGAGCACATTCAATAATATATTTAACAAGTTCGACTAATTTAAGTTTCTCATGCAACGTTCTTCGCTTAAGCCACCCAAAAAATCCTTCAATTCCACTTGACGTTGTATATTTATTTGTTGAGCTTGGTAGCCACGATTTTGCACATTTGAGAAGGTCAATTATCATTCTCGACTTGGTTAAAGTGACTCCTTTCTCTTTTGACTCGATAGCACATTGGTTGAGTGATTCGATTAATTGATCAACTGTATTAAAAATGCAATTTCCACCAAAAAACATCTTCTTCATCTAAATATTTTTGAATTTGATCATTACCATCTTTAATTACTAATTTATTCAATTCATTTAATAACACCTCTTCTTTTTCACAACCTCCAAAAACGACTTTATTGTAAATTGTAATAATTGGGTGGCACTTGCCAAAAGCCGCAACAAGATTACGTCTTATATGCACCGTACAATACACTATAAAAACTGTGGGATATACTTCTTTTATGGCTACAGTTTGACTTTGACACCTATCACAAATAATCAATCTTGGATTTACACTTCGTTTTAGGATAGTTAATACCATTTTGAACGATTCGGAAGTTCTGTTTGGTGTTATCGAAAAAAAAACACACAGTGACTATGACTACTTTTGTCTACAAGAATTCCTACATATAAAGGCATTCCAAATTCATTTGTCCCACAAGTGTCATCCAAAATTAGTTCTTCAATGTTGTAATTTTTACATAAAAGTTCGTTTATCGCTACACAACCAACAAACACTCCACTTTTTGACTTTATTATAACAGTGCTCCAGTTTTCCAAAGTTTTTAAATACTCAGCCAAATCAATACTTTGTACTCTACCAGTTTTCTCTGCGCATTTTCTTACAATAGATCCAATTTTACACTTGAAAACGGAAGATTTAAATCCTTTTTAATATTTTCTGGAGATGCCCCAAGTTTATGTTTTGCTATCATTTCAGCTCTTTCTTCATCTGTAAAAAAATGGATAAGTTTTACAAGGAAGAATATCAAAGTTATAAGTGTGTAGGTGTTTAAGTGTAATTTGAACGACTCTGTTCTTTTGTTTGGACAGTACCAAAACAAGTTTACATGGACAATGAGTAAATGTACATTTAAAAAACTGGTTTGAATTATTTGAATGACTATTTGTAGTCAAAAAAGAGATATTTTATCTCCTTTGATATTCATGATAGAAGCACTTTTCATTGTTGATGCTTGAGACAAGAAAGAATAATTTTGAAAAGATTGACATATATTATTGATAACATCATTCGGAGTTTCAAAATGGTAATCATCCACAATTTCTTCTTTATCATTTTCTCTTGAAATAATAATTGCTGTTCTAGACATCTTTGTTTGAAATTTAAAGTTTATAAAATAATTAATAGTATTACGATTAGTAAACAATAATAATCAGAAAGATCTACTATATATATTATATTAATAAAGGGTTTGTTATTTTGTGAATTTAATTCGATCTGGTTTTTAAGAAATAATTAGAATAAATAGTAATCATGTTTTAAAAATTGGTGAAATTAAAAAACAAAAAATCAATTTTGATTTTAAAAAAAATGTTATTGATATAAAATAGTTTATTGAACTAATGTGCACTGGTGTCGGTGTAAAATAGTGAACCTTATTTATTGTTACAAGTTGAAAAAAAACATTTTGTATCATTTCTAAAACATAAATTAAAAACAAAAAATAATTAAAAATATTTGTAAACTTGAACAATGGTTGATTTTTTAATATTTACGTTAATAAAATTGACCTTTCGGATACGTAATATAGTTTTGTTGTTGTGGTTGTATTAACCCATAAACAGTCAATTACGACAACTTGATGTTTGTTTTTAAAATTTATGATGATTTGGCAAATATAAAAGAAAGCGAATTTAAAAGTTATCAAATTAATCATTTGATTAATTATTTAATAAATACAACACAATTCAATATTAAAAAAACTTGAATGTAGCATTTTGAAACAATTAATTTATAACAACAAAATTGGAAATTTAAATATATTAAAGAAACCCACAAAACGCAGCAAATGTTTAAAAATTGTCACACATACAATCCACCCATGAATTGAATCAATCTCTATGTGAAAGTGTCAATGTGTAAAATCAACTGAGAATGATTATGGTAATAACTTATAGTTATAAATATTCAATTTCTGTATTTAATTTCAAAAAGGTGTCTCAATATCTAAATTGAACTTGTGTCCTGCTCGAAAGTTATATAAATTTCAAAAATATAAAAATACAAACAATGACTAATAAAAATGGTTATTTATAATAAAATATAGTTAATCTTTTGATATAGACTATTATATGCCAACTCTGAGAAAAATATTCATAAAATCTAAAGACAATGATAAAAGTACACATAACTAATGTGAAATTTGCCATTTCTTGTTTGACAAAACAAATAAATTATAATAATTGTAATAAAAAACACAATTAATTATTTTCACTGAATGACGCATTGATAATAGCCGTAATTATTAACATTGAGTAACATGCTTTTGTGTTATAGTGAAAATGATGAGTCGAAATAGTTGTTTAATAATATAACAATAAAAAGAATCCATTATACATCGCTTTTACAGACAGTGATGTATCTGCAATTATTATCAAGCAACCCGAAATATAAGAATATTAATATATTTTAAAATTTTAATTTG